GCCATATGTGTGTGTCCTTAGCTTCCTAGGCAGAAGACTTGCAGATAACTGTCGACAAAAACAAGGACTGTTAAGGGACGAAGTTGAAAATTGGTGGTATAAGTGGCACAAGCAGCCATGAAGGTCCGTTAGGGAGACTTCCCATCTGGAAGATGAAATCTCTGGCCTGGGTGGAGACCTAACATTCCAGTTGGGCCGGGTTAATCACCTGGCTAAGGGATCACAAACAGGAAGGTTGAGACTGCCTTTAGGGAGGCAGGCCCACCTTCCTAGGGGGGTGGGCCTGCCTTAAGCCATGCTAAAGAGAGAGGAGGGATAATTATCCCTTTAGTAAGGTAATATACTTCTTCCCAGAATTCTCACCCTCTAGCTCAGGCTGTAGAGGATCACAGATTCGTAGTCTGCCAGAAAAGCAACTTTTTTTTTTCTTTTCTTTTCTTTTCTTATTTCTACCTCTTCCTTAGGAATGATTTCCTTAACCGTTCGGGCTTCACTCTTTCTCCCTACACTGTGGCCACATGCTGATATCTCCACTCTTGACTTAGCTCAAGCAGCTAGGCTTTTTTCTTTTCCTGTTTCACTCTCATCCCCTTGACAGCTGCCAAGATTGCCTTCCTGAGGGTGGAGCGGGTTGGAGGTGAGAATACGGGGTGGGGTTCTTTTAAACTCTAATTAAAGTGTCCTCTGGTAGAATTTTGGGGGGGTCATTTATGTATACTTTCATATCAGTTGCAAATATCAATACTTTCACTTCTTCCTTTCCAATTTGTATCCCCTTGATCTCCTTTAGTTGCTCTAGCTAGAGCTTCAAGTACTATATTGAATTGGTAAAAGAGAGTGGGCAGCCTTGTCTTGTCCCTGACTTTACTGAAATTGCTTTGTGTTTCTATCCATTTAATTTAATGTTGGCTATTGGATTGCTGTATATTGCCTTTATTTATGTTTAAATTGCATCCCTGATCTCTGCAAGATTTTTAACATGAAAGGGTGTTGGATTTTGTTAAAGGCTTTTTTCAGCATCTAATGAGATGATCATGTGTTTGTTTTTTTTTTCCAGTTTGATTATATGGTGGACTACATTAATGGGTTTTTATATATTGGAGCCATCCTTGTAACCCTGGGATGAAGCCTACTTGACCATGGTAGATGATGTTTTTGATGTGTTCTTGGATCCTGTTTGTGAGTATTTTATTGAGCATTTTTGCATCAATGTTCATAAGGGAAATTGGTTTGAAATTCCCTTTTTTTGTTGAGTCTTTGGTTTAGGTATCAGGGTGAAACATTAAAATGAACTGTTTGATGTTGACAACTTGATTGATTTTTGTTTTGTTCTGATTGTTGGTATTTCCTACGGTATTTCCTACATCATCTACAATAAATACTTTTAGAATATAAACTATTAAATGCAAAAAGCTGGTCATAACACATGCCTATAATCCCAGCACTTGTGAGGCAGAGGCAGAAGGATCAGGAGTTCAAAGCCACCCTCAGCTATCTAGTGAAGTCAATTTAGAAATTTTGGTTGTGTGAGATCATAGGAAAGGAAAAAAAAAAAAAAAAGAGTCTTACTGTGTAGCCCTGGTTGGCCTATAACCTTTATGTAGATCAGGCTGGCATGAACTCACAGAGATCTGCCTACCTCTGCTTCCTGAGTGCTGACACACAACACTCTGCTCCACACACTGTCTTCTACCCCTCTGGCTTAAGGCATGAGCAAGTGACATAAGATAGGCCAGTGAGGCTCACTCAGTACTCCTATAGAAAAGGCTGATGGGGGCAGAGCCTAGCCACCTGTGGACACACAACACCAACAGAGCAATACAGGACAGTATCTGTGAAGGCTTGAGGTGGAGGGGAAAACCATTCACATCCAACACAGACACACACACCACTATCACCATTCCTGTTCAAATCCTGACAACTCTGAGTCCTTGGACGGAAGAGAATCCGAAATGTGTGTATCCCAAGTCTTTCAGGTGTAAGCAGCAGTAAGTTCTGCTTCTTTGTTTGCTTGTTTACGTCAGTTTGAAATGTATTCCCACAGGCGGCAGTCAATAGCCCCTCTCGCTAAAATAATGAGAAAGGCAGTGAAATACATAAAACACAATCATGATAGCGTCTAGGGCTATCATAAAATACAGTACAGAACTGACCCATCTCTCCTCTCCGAGAAATGAAACAGCTCCATCTTTGAAAATGTTCAGTTGGACGGTGCTCATCTGTAACATGGTTCATTCCCAGAGCCCTGAACTAATAGCACCTTGCACATGTCTTCTTGCAGTACGGAGCAGGCAGGGGGTACTATTGAAAATAGCTAACAACCTGAAAAGTGCAGGGACTGGAGGCTCTCTGCTGTGCTCAGCATTCAGCCTGTAATTGCTGGATCTAAGGAGATGTGAGGTGTCTCAGGACTGGGTTGGAATCGGGGGCACTTAGGATGTGTTTAGGGGATGGCTTTTTAAAAAAATCAGTACAATAAGATTTCAATATTCTATCAGCCAGCCAATATGACCTGGCTCCACATGAGCTCTTTCTCAGATAGAACTGTTTCTTATTTGAGGGGCTGTTTTCCCCATTACACCGTGATTCCTATAGGCAGGGATTTTTGTCTTATTAATTTGTGTGTAGGTCTTGGTGCCTACTGGCAAGTCCTGGGCATTCAATAATGTTTGCTAAGTGATAAAGATGAATTCCAATTTAGAATTGTATAATTTCCCCATTCTGTTTTTATTTTTTCCAGACAGAAAGTTCTTGCCTGGAATTCATTTGCAATATGGTTTCTTTTCACCACATTTCTGAAGATGTCATTCTCTCCAATGTCAGTTGAGTGAAGAAAAAAAAAATTAAATTTTCTCTTTCAGGCATAACGTTGACCTTTTAACTCACAGTGGCTCCCCCCCCCCTTAACATAAAGATGTGTTTTAGAAATAAACCAAGATCTCAAATTAAGGATTGTTTGAGTGGTGTCCCTTACCTCTGCCATCCTAAGACTAATGTGTAACTTGATGCCTCTCTCAACTGTAGGACCTGAGCTTTGTCCTAGGCCATTGAGCTGGCATCGGCCCCCATGTCAGATCCCTCGGACTGCTAAGGAGTGCCTAGCCTCTCCTTGCTGCCCTGTAAGGCATTTCAAAATATGCTTTGAAGGAAGGGAGAAATAAAGTGGTTTCAGGAGAGGCTGTAAAATATCTGTATCATTTAATCATTCTCTAGTACTGGTAAGTTTTAAGTGAATAGCTTTAAAAATGAATTTTCTTAAGCTAGCACAGGTCCTGTCAATATCCAAAAGGACAGCTGGGAAGGGATATATATTCTTGATGATACTCAAAGAGGCCACATGTATTTAATTGTTTGTTTTTTTTTTTTCTGGTGATTATCTCCCTTTTATTTTCCATTCTTTAAATTTTTTAATGTATTATCTATCTATATCTATCTATCTATCTATCATCTATGCATCTATTACATGTTTGTGGGTGTGTGTCTGCCCTACTTAAACTCTTAAACTCTCTGTAGAGGTGTTTAATCCATTTGTCAGAATGCCAGCAAGACCACTCATGGAGACTACTCAGGGCATTTGCTACCAAGTTAGAGGACTTGAGTTTGACTCCCAGGACTTAGACAGTGGAAAACAAAACAACCCCCCCCCCCTTGAAAGTTGTTCTCTGACACACACACACACACACACGTGGTACCTTCAATAAAGAAATAAGGAAACAAATACAAATCATGAAGAGTATGTAGTGAAAACTCGGGATCACAGAGGAAATCTTAGAATGAGGCCTCAAACTCAAGCACTACCAGGTGTGCAACCCCGGCCCACTTCAAGAACTAAAGTAGTACGCGTTTACTCTCCTTATTTTGTACAGTTACTTGCAAGCCTGGATAATGGAGAGATGGGTCAACTGTTAAGAAGAAGAGGAGTTAGGAGTAGCTGAGCTCCGGGCACCCACAAGATGACCCACCAACATCTGTAACTCCACTTTCAGGGGACTTGACGCCGTCTCCTGACCTCCCAGGGCACCAGTCACACAGGTGACTAGCGCACAGACATACATGTAGGCAAAACACTCATACACATAAAAAAAAAAATCTTTAAAAGAAAAGATAATTATTTTACTTTTATCTTGCTTCTAACGCCTGCCAGAGCAGGAGGGAGGTGGGGGAAGGGGCAGGGGTGGTGGTGAGATTAAAACAAAACAAAACCCAAGCGAAAGGTACCCAAATGCAAATGGGCGCCTTTAAAAGCCGTGTTTCAAAGCTAACTGCTTTCCAGCGAGCCTCTCCTTACTCCACTGCCCCAATTTCCACAAGCCTCAGCAGGAGCTGGGTTGGGCGGAGGTCTACGCTAGCCAATAGAAATCAGCTGTTTTCTCACAGGTTTCGCAGCAGGTGGAGAAACTAGGCACGAAAAATTATTTAAACGTGGGGCTCAACCTTTTACCGAGGTGAGGGGCGCCACGATCGGTCCCCTTCTACCAACGGGAACGGAGAAAAACGTCGGAGATCCAATTTCCCAATCCCTTCGCCCCGCAATCCCGACCCCGTAACACCTCCGCCACCGGCCGAGTACAGCCTTCCCCCTCCGGAGCGCGCCGGAGGGACCCGCGGTTGTCCTTTTATTGTCTAGGGAGCACCTGCCAGGTGGCTGGCCGGTGCCCAAGGCGCGCGTGGCGCCGGGCTTCACAAAGCGCGGGCAGCACCCGCGTGGCCAGCGAGCCGCCTGGGGCCGAAGGGACCACCGATGGAGGGAGAGCGCCGGGAGGAAGAGGATCCGGGGTGGAGGGTCTCCGGGTGCCCCGGGTCTCAGCACAGCGCCCCCGGGATCAGCCGATCCCGAGAGTCCCGGGCACCAGGCAGCGGGAGGGAGTGCGACCCGGGCGGGAGAAGGGAGGGGCGTGGCCACACGCGGAGGGGAGGGCTGGAGGAGGGGCTGTCGCGCGCCGCCAGCGGCTCCGGGGGCTCGGCTTTGCCGCGCTCCGTGCACTCGGGCGAGAGCCGTGGCGGAGAGAGGAGCTCGGGAGCCGTCTAGCGCAGCCACCGCGATGAGAGGCGCTCGCGGCGCCGGGGATCTGCTCTGCGTCCTGTTGGTCCTGCTCCGCGGCCACACAGGTGGGCAAGCGCGGGGGCACGAGAGAGGACTGCGCCGACCCGGGTCCGGGAAGGGGTGCCCACCCGGCTGCGTCCGGAGCGGTGGTCTGGGGCTTCTCCGCCGTGCCTGTGCGTTCTAGCCACCCGCGAAGGTTGGCGGGCGGCCCCGGGACTCTGCTGCTCCGTCTCGCTCACCTGCAGTCGGGGCGGTGGATCCCCGGGAGCCGAGGGTCTTCTGGGGGAACCGGGGCACCGGGCTGCGCGCAGGCTGCGGGAGAGTTTGGGCGATGCTTTTGTGCCGAGCGAGCGCGGGTGGCAGTGGCGGGCGGCCTCGGGCTTCGCACCGAGAGCGTCCCCCTCTCCTTTGAGAGAGGCGCGGCCGCAGCCTCCTTTTGTTAAAAGTTGCGTGTGGGTGACCGGCGCCCGCGAGGACCAGCCCACGGGTCCCCGGACACACGCCGGGCAAAGTTGGAGAGCCTTTTCCTCGGCTCTGCAGCCGCCGCTTCTCCACCTCGGCTGCCCTTTGTGCATGGAGCCGGGGACCCAAGCCGCAGTCGCCCTCGCTGTGCGCGGCGCCACCCGCGGGGACGAATCTCGGGCTCACTTGTGCTCCCCTCCCCATACACACACTTTGCTCGGGGAGCACGCGGCGTGCGGCTCTGGGGCGGGACCCCGCGAGCCTGTAGGTGGCGGCTGTAGGGGGACAACTTGAGCCGGGCGTGTGGCGAGCAGCCGCTAGGCTGCAGACTTTTCCCTTTTGGAAACCCCGTGCTGGAGGCTCGCCCCCCTCTCTGCGGCCGCGCGGCGTTCATTGCTGCCTGCCACGCGCCGGAGAGCTGCGGCAGCCGCCGCGGGCGCCCAGCTCCTGGGAAGCGGGGACGACCGTGCGGGGACGCGGCTGATTCTTGCCACCTCGCGCGCGCAGTGTGCGAGGGCCCGGGTTTCGGAAACCTCCGGTCTCGTTGTGCGAGGCTTGTAATAGCAGGTGGCCGTTTTTCTTTGGGAATCCCGGGATCCACACACACACACACACACACCCCTCCCACGTGATAGCCATACTCAGGGCCACCTGGGGGAAGTGGGATAGGGGGCGGGGAGGGTTGAACTTCCTGCAAATCCCGTTTGTTTCTTCCAGCTGTTGGGACAAACCGGGTTAACTCCCGCACGGGAACTTGGGTCTCAAGGGGGTGGAAGACCTTCAGGCTCCTGGAGCTCCTCAGTCCTGTCCCTTTTTGCCAGGTGTCGCTGGTGCGCTGCCTGTGCGGGCCGCCTGGCTAGTCTCCGAAGCCTTGTCCTCGCCCAGGTCATTTTCAAAACAAAAAACCCTTTCTGGTTACCCTGATGCTGTAGGCTAGACAGAATCTGCGCGAAGGAATAAAGCACCCGACACCAGCATCGCTGGGACCTGCTTCGAGCCCACCGCTGGCTACCTTCTCCAGATCCCACTCTTCCGTTGCTTTTGAAAGCCCCCAGAGGACTTTCTGGTGGGGGAGCCCTCCCATCTGGACCCCTGTGCCAGAAGAGGGGCCACCAGGGGTCACAAATGAGTGTCCAGATTCCGTGTGGCTTAAAACGACCACAGTGATCTTTGTGTTTTCCACCTTGTTCTGCTTTAGACCAAGGTGGAACACCACAGCCGGCATAGTTCCCTTTCAAAAACAGAAACGACTCAATGGTTTGTGTTTTCCTCCACATTAGCGGGCTCTGGCCAATAACTTTTTTGACAAAGGGAATTTGAAGGTCTGTTTCCTGGCAGGCAATGTGTTGTAATTGCCTTGCTCTGCCCCTCCAGTTTCAGACCCCCTTTTCAGCCATACTGCCTCCTTGGTTATGTGCCCTTGGGAGGTCTTTTAAATTCGGAGTGGGGGGTGGGGGTGGGGGGGCTTCAGTTACCTGAAGAAGACATTTGTATCATAAAGGATCAGGGGAGTTCAGAATTGCTGAAAGCTGCTTTGATGTCTAAGGGGCCTCTTGGGATTTGTGTGTGTGTGTGTGTGTTACTGTTTTGCCACTGGCTTAGCAGGAAGCAGCGTTGTGTTTTTGCTTATGTTGTGCTGTCCCTTTGAAGGGCTAGCAAGTGCCTGCTCTGTGGTGACCCCTCCTCCCTCCCGGGCACTGACAGCATTTACAGCTCAACAGGATGGTCCTAGAACAGTGAATCATACTTTCCTCCTGCTCCTGCAGGTGCCAGGCAGGCCCTGGTCATTCATGCACCTGGCATTCCAGCACATGATCCTGCTGGAAATAATCTGATAATTCTGTGTAGAGATCCTCAATCATTCCTACTTCTTCCTGTTCTGGTTTTTTCCCCCCACCCAGCCACACATTCTTTTTTTCCTATGACGTTATAAATCATGCATGCCGTGCGTTTGCAACACGCTTCCTAACGTGCCTTAAATATCATATCATGGATATGTTCCATGCACACGCAGGGCTTCATAATCAGCAAATGTCTGCCAAGCCCCATGCTGAGGGCTTTCCCTGCTCTTTCTGCACTCAGGGGCCCAGGAGGGTGGGCCACTCCAGCCTCTACTCTTCCACTATCTTCCAACTGGAGAATAAGTCACTTGCCCAAAATAACCAGTGAAGGAGCCTGAGCTCAGCTCCATATGTCCAACTGTGCATCCATTTATACAGCTCACCAGAATTTGTTGTAAAGTAAGACACATGAAAAATATTTAATGAGTGGTTACTATCAGCCCAGCCCTGTTGGAGGTTCTAGGAGTCCAGGACTGCTAATTTGGGTGAGAAGGCTTCAGGCTACCTGTCTTGAGACTCTTGGGTTAGTCTTTTCAATTTGAGTGCGTTAATTTGCGCTGAGGATTCACTGCTGCATAGCTTGGGCGGGAGCATTTGAGCCTATCATATGAGGGCTTTGGGGGGGGGGTTTGGGGGAAGAGAAAGGAAGATAAGTTATCTCTAAAATGAAGTTGAAGACCATTCCTGGCCCCCTCAAATAAAAATGATTATAACATTACATATTTGCCCCTGATACCTGGCTGATCTCAGTGTCTGTTTACCGTGGCCAAGCATGGTGAAATACAGCTACCGTTTACTGCACTCCCAGAAGAAATTCTCATCAGAGATGTGTCAAGTGTTTTGTGGGCTTTCCCTTGCTGCACACTGAAGTTGCAGATGTTGTTTTGGTGATAGGTTTTGTCCCTGTTGTTGACAGTCCTTAGAAGTTACTCTTAGGATTTTTGACTCATTTCCTCCAGGATCCTCTAGTTGATTAAAAAGAAGGGCTCGAGGAAATGAGCCAAACCAGCCGTGGTGTCCAGAGCATTCCTTAGCTAGATCTAGGTGTAGGGCCACCCCTCAGAAATGGTGGGCCAGAGGCCACAGCCTCATTTCTCCAGAACGCATTAGGTTCAGGGGTTGGCAGCCTGGGCTGTGGAAGTGCTGTAGTCATGTGTGGGAACTTTTCCAAAAGGGGGATTGAAAGACATTTGTACGGCTCCAAATATGCAAAATTTCATATGCAGCTTCAGCAGCACTCGTTGATACTCTCACAGGGCGAGCGGAGCTTGGAAGGGAGTAGTCAGTGGGAGGGAGACTCGAATCAGGACCCATCCAGCAAGGATCTTGCTGAAAGTAGGAGAGACCCAAGAGCAAGGCTGGCTCCTTAGCTCGGATTGCTGATGTCTTGGGGCATGGTTGTGTGATTCATCTTCTGTTTTCAGTCTCCGATAAATGAAGAGCAGTTTTAAGCCAGTAGCCAGCTCGTGGGCATGCTTGTTTGACTGCATGCTTCTAGACAACATGGGAGATGGTTCCAACGAAACGGTCCAACCTGATCGCTTTCCCCAGCCATCTGATGCTTCAGCTTCCGTTTTAGCGACGGCACACCTTGACTACTAGGTTTCCAGCAGGTCTACAGAATGTAGTGTTTAAGTCCAGGTATTATTTAGGGCAGATGGCAGCAGAGTTAAGAGCTTGGCTTCTGGAATTGACATCCATGAGTTTTTAATCCCGTTCTGCCACTTAACCGCTGTGAGATCAGAGACCAGATGTCTAACCCTCCTGATGTTTGCTTTCCACATCTGTATAGGGGGAAAGCGGTAACGGGGTCACGGTGCAAACGCTGGGGATTGATTGCTGGAGGTTCGGTAGGGGATATGCTTACACTGGAGCCCCTCAGAGGACATGGGTGGTCTCCACTGTGTGTGGATTTTATAACCCCCTTTCAAGGTGAGTCTCTTAAGAAAAAAAAATGCAACTGGTGTGAAACCAGATTACAGGGGTGGTTTTACCTTTTTTTTTTTTTTTTAAAAAAATATTAAGATAAAGTTTATGCATTGAGTGACTAGGTTTTTAAAAAAATCTGCTGCCAGTAGTGATGCATGCTGCTTTTCCCTTGGCTCTGTAGTTGACCTCGTGCCCTTTGACTTTCCACCAAAGGGCATACAGAGTTTGGGATGAAAGTTTGGGGAGTGAGAATCCAGGTTCGGAACCCCCTCTCTGGCAGCAGGAGCCCCTTACTCTACCTGAAGTGGCTGTGCGAACTCTGAGGAGCTTTCCGGAGGGGCTCTCCTGGCCTAGCTCCCAGGAGCACAGGGACCTTGTGAACTTGCCCTTGGATGGGTTCCGACTCACAGCAGGCTGGAAACCACTGTTTTAACGGCTCTGCTGCTCACCCCGACCACGCTCTGAACACAGGCAAGGCCGGTGGGTGAGTTTATCAACCCCCTGCTGGGTCCCCTCCCAGGGACAGTAGATAGGAGCAGATAGGAGGGAGGAGCTCAGAGGCATTTGGGGTGTAGATGCAGGGGGCGTGGGCAGCACGGTCCAAGCCTTTGGGTGGGTGTTAGCAGGGACTAGGGAAACAGTGCACATCCCCACAGGAGGTCTTACTTTCAGATAAGACTCCATGCGCCCGGCAGTAGGGGAGCAGAATGTTTGTCCTTGGGGTAGTTGGAAGAATTAAGAGAACTGTGGAGGAGCAGGATGTTCAGATCTTACTTGAGGATCGTCCAGTTTTAGTCTGGTCAGATGGCTGAGGTAAGGAAATGGAGGGTAAG